ATAGCCCTCACCATTACAGTCCTTCACATTACTTTCACCAATACAGCTTGAACATCTGGAACCCTCAACCTTCAGAATACTCTTCGCAAGGAAAACAGCAATACTTCATGCCTCACCACGCATATGGAGGACACCAAGCTGTTGTTGGTTAAGTAATCCTCAATCATTTATCGATCTGCTTAATTTTATACACCGGAATACACACGGCATAAATATTTGTCGTCACAAAAGTTCTTGTTTTCAATTATTTCCTTTTAGTGGCTTTCTCAAGCACATATTACGTTTACAAAAAGAGGTGTCGTCAACGGTCTACCTAGTTTCCTTTCATCAAATTCAAGGGTTACTCGATAATAAACTACACGGAATTCATGTCCGACTATCACGATCTCGAGTTGCGTTGCGCCTTCCGGTGGCCGCCTCGATCTTACGACTTTACTTCTTTTCAACCACATCTACGGCGTTACATCAAGCGAATCTAGACATTTTCTTGTTTTCTTTTTTTTTTTCTTTCTCAAAATGGGTTGGGCATGGGACCTGGAAGGTTTCTGGTCTGGTGTTTGGGTTTCCAGGCTTGGGATTGTTTACTAACTGAATTTTCGCTTTTTCTTTACACATTTTGCTTTTTAGACCTTTGTGCTCAAGTTCAGAGCTATACAAAAAATTCATAGCAGTCACGTTTGGACTCGCTATTGCAAAATGTAATTATGCACAGACTTTTTCTATTTCTTACTTTTTGGGTCTTGCTTCTCAAGAGCAGTCTTCAAAAAGTAAGCTTCTTGTACTATGTTTTTTGTTATTCTGGATCTTTCGCCGACTTCTCATTAATGTTGGAGAGTTGACTTGCACAAAAATGGCTGGGTATACGGGATGGATTGCGTTTGTTTTCGATTTCAATCATGTTTTCCACTGGTTCACAAATGACGAATAAAATCTATTCTGATTTTGATGAATCCAAGGCATGGAGAACATCTGGGTGGAATGTAGGTGGTTATGGCACGCAAATTTGACATCTTTTCATGAAAGATTGGGTTACTTCAGGAAGGAGGGAAAATTCTATTGCCGTCGAGGTTCGACTATCTCCTGGCTAGCTACGCCACACTTCAACTTTTCTCCTACAAAGATGAGTTTAGTCAAAAAGACATTTTGGCTTGTTTGCTTGCACGTGGCAAGTACTTCGTAACAAAAAAAAAGGGCATGCTTGGGTCAAGGGGGTTCAATATCAGTTGGGGCTCTGGATACAAAGATGGATTTTTCTTTTCTTTTTTTCCTTTTACGAAATGATTTTATGATGGGTTCTTGATATCCTGAGTTGTTACTCGATTTTTTCCGACTTTTTTTTTTTCGAGTGGTGAAGGGTGGAATTGAATTGAATGGAATGGATCTGATTGTCTTCTACTTTCTTGTCTTTGTGGAAGGGGGTGGGAGTAAGAAAGTTTATTATACCATTTGGGAGGTTTGCATGGAATGGATTGGGATTGAACTTGATGCATGGATGGGCTATATAGATTGAGGACTTGGGAAATTGAGGGCTGGTGTGGGTGAAAAGATATGACAATTTTGATCGTCCCTCACTCATAACGAATGATATGGAGGAGTGAGGAAACAAACCTTTGAGATTCAAAGGAAGGCAAATGACGATTGTGTAAAATCTTTTAGATTAATTAAGAGTATTGTGATTGGCTTTGTTATATTTGAATTGATACTTGTGATTGTGACTATACTTTAATGTGTTGAATAGGTAGACATAGGAACGAACTTGTGATAATGATATCGGTGTGAGGATTCTAGAAGTAATGGGAGATTTTGAAACCAGATCTATCATGTGTTTGGTGATTGAGGGAAGTAATTCTTATTGCTAATAGATGGATCGATGGATCGATGATGGGAAGGAGAGTGGATGATGATGGGAAGGAGAGTGGATGATGATGGGAAGGAGAGTGGATGGTGAGAAGGAGAGTGGTCGGTTGAGTCTTAGGGAGGGGAAGAATAGAGAAGAGAATGGGGAAGGGGAGGGGAAGGGGAAGAAGAAGGGGAAGGGGAAGGGGAAGAAGAAGGGGAAGGGGAGGGGAAGAAGAAGGGGAAGAATTGGTAATGCTGTCTGTAGTAGTAGTGGTAATGGTAGTAGTAATGGTTGTATGGAGTGGTTATATATTATACTGTGGTGTAATGAATAAATGAATGAATGGATGAAGAAATGAAGAAATGAATAAAGGAATAAAGGAATAAAGTAATATAAATTGGATTTATATATAAATGTATAAATGTATAAATGTATAAATGTATAAATGTATAAATGTAAATTGAGGGGTTGTTGGAATTTTGGAGGTGAGGGTGGGAATGGAGATAGAGATAGAGATAGAGATGGAGATGGAGATGGAGATGAAGATGGAAATGGAAATGGAAATGGAGATGGAGATGGAGATGGAGATGGAGATAGAAATGGAAATGGAGATGGAGATGGAGATGAAGATGGAGATGGAGATAGAGATAGAAATAAAAATAGAAATAGAAATAGAAATAGAAATAGAAATAAAAATGAAAATAGAAATAAAGATAAAAATAAAAATAGAAATGAAGATAGAGATAAAGATAGAGATAGAAATAAAGATGAAGAGGATATGTATATAGATATGTGTAAGGGGGAGAGAGGGAGAGAGGGAGAGAGGGAGAGAGAGAGGGAGAGGCCTGATGAATATATAAAACTATTTTATTAGATTGGATTGGATTGGGTATATTTGTATTCATATGTTCATTTTATTGAGAATATTTGTATTCATATGTTTATTTTATTGAGTATATATATGAATATGGATATGGATATTTGTATATGTATATAAAATTTTAGAGGACTGAAATGGTAATGAGATGTAGGATAGAATAGAATGAAATGTGAGTTGTAAAGTATAATGTGTAAGGGTTCATATTAAAGGATTGAGTAGGTATTTAGTATTATTATTGTTTTTGGTGTTTGAGATTAGATTTGGATTGATTTATGGGTTTGTATGTGAGGATGAGAATGAATAGATAGTATTGGATAGGATAGTATTGGATAGGATAGTATTGGATAGGATAGTATTGGATAGGATAATATTGGATAGGATAATATTGGATAGGATAATATAGAATAGTATAGGATAGGATTTATATTAATAGGAATTAGAAACATCTTTTATTATTTTGTTTTGTTTTGTCTTAGAGTAAATAATAAGTAATGGTATTAAATAATTTATATAGATAGTTTATATAGATAGTTTATATAGATAGTTTATATAGATAGTTTATATAGATAGTTTATATAGATAGTTTATATAGATAGTTTATATAGATAGTTTATATAGATAGTTTATATAGATAGTTTATATAGATAGTTTATATAGATAGTTTATATAGATAGTTTATATAGATAGTTTATATTAGGAAGTGATGAATATAAGTCTAAATGTAGAGACAGATAGAAAATCTTGGATCCTCCTCCTCCTCCTCCTCCTTCTTCTTTGAATTAGGGCTAGGGTTAGGGTTAGGAAACTTGAGAAGGATATATATATATATATATATTATAGAATCTGGATACTCGTTACGATCACAATCACAATCACGATCACGATTACGATGACGATCTTCATTCAATCCTGAATCTGGGACGTATTTGGAAATTTTAATCGATTGTGAGAGTGTAGGTGAATTTTCCGAGGGGAATGGAGGTGGAATGTAGATGTAGAGATTGGTATATTTGTTTGTGTAGGTGGTCTTTGGGGGGATTATGGGTATGTATGTACTATGTAGATAGATAAGTTGAGGTGAAAGTTTGGAATAGGGTATGCTGTGGTTTAATGGTATATGAGATATGGAATATGAATTGTTTGGATGTTGGTTTACGGATATATAGGTACATATGAATGTATAGACTTCTTATCAGCTCTTTCTTTGTTCGTTGTACAATATTCAGTATGTATGGGATATTGATGGATGCGAAAGATCTGAATAGATTGATTTGTTATATGTTTGATCTGCTGAGAGATCTATGGAGAAGTTACGAGTGTGAATTCGAAATTTTCGAGAGAGAAATCTTATCTCACGGCTTGTGGTCTGGATTATTTTCATTTCCTTGAGTTTTCATCGTCTCTGCTAAGTAAGTATAGGTAGGTAGGTATAAGTGATTATTACTCGTTGTCAGTCGCTACGAGATCTTGATTTGTGAGGAAAGTGAGACGGGTATATTTAATTATTGGAAAAGAGAAGAGAAGCGATTTAGAAGAAAAATTCCTTCTAACAAACTTTGTTTATACTGGGGTAAGTCGCAATTGGTAGTCCTATGGAGTAGATATTTAAATAACATGATGTTGCTGAAGGACTTACTGGATGGTATTTGCCAAGGTAATTCAACTTGAATTTCATAGTTTGTATAGGTCAAGTTTACTTTTATACTATTGTGATAATCCAAACCATCGGTTTTGAGCACCGTAGTAAGCTTTATTAACAAGAAAAGGCCAATGGGAGAATAAAAGTATTATTTTCAAGACGTATTCTTATAAAGCGGTGGATGAGATGTTGGAGAATCAAGAAGTAAATATGGGTATGGTGATAACGTGGACTGAAGTTGACGACACGTAGTTTCTACTTGAAAATGGGTGTCTGAGAGGTAGTATGAGTGCCAAGAGAAGAGAAGAACGTATGAATTTGACAAGTGGTGTCGCAATGCAAGTTGATAGTTTACACCGGTGCTAGAACGGGACTTATAGGAGTTTGGGTGATAATAAGCGAGCAAACATCATATTTTGGTCAGATAATCATAGACTAGATGCTTAGTGTACTGCACTAGTTCACTAGATTTCCTAATTGAATCTCAAATCATAGCTAGGTTTAGTTGAAGAATGATCACATGATACAGAGAACACATATAAATTGTCCAATTCCACTCCAGTTTGATTTTTGACTTGCTGAGACCTTCAAACTATTCTTACATTTAATAACACATCGTTCGGCGACGACAATCTTTCATCATGTCTAAAGAAGCGTATTACGGACCAATAAATTCACCTTCTGTCATCAAAATCATATATTGCCCAAATACTAACTACTGTATTGATGTCGATCATATTGGTTGGAACTTCAAGAGCGTGGATGATACCACCACAATAGAAGCAACGAGCTTTCGATCTCCGAACAGGAAACCTAGCATCCTCATACCAAACCACAAACCTCTGGTGAATACTTATTACATCATCACAATTGGTAGTGAGGCTTGGAAAATTAGATATGTACATGATAAAGTAATACAAGAATCGGCGAACTCTGTAGACGGAAAACGTGGCATAGCGATTCGTAAAGAGGGGGAGAATACTACCTACCATATCGACAATCGAACGCAGATTTGCACAATTAGCTATGTGTATGTCACATCAATGCAAACGGGGATTCCAAAGTCTGAAGACGAAGAGCCAATTACCACCAAAAACCTTACACCTGGGGAAGAAATATCCAGATTTCCAATACGAAAGAGTGCTGTGGGTGCCCCGAAGAACGCTGCGATTTTTGTCCTCCCCAATGACATCTTAGACTGTATTTTTGACTACCTTCCAAAATCTTCGGTTGTAGCATACACTCTTACTTCTCTCAAATTGAAGAATTCCCTCGGTCCAGAACACTGGACTAAAATCGTTGACGTCGTCAAGAATTCTCCGAAGGAAACTACTGATCTACTTGATCTCCTGTGCAAGGACTACGAGCAATGCATCCCGTGTCACACATGTCTGAAGCTGCATGAACCATCTGCCTCGACGATAGCCAGGAAATGTTGGGAGCATGATAAGAAATTTGGAGTGGAGTCATATATTCACGCGCAATTCCGTTTTAGTGAAATGCAAATGGCTGCGAAGTTATATAACGAAGGCAAATACGAATCTTCACAACTTCAGCTACGTTCGATAGGCAGAACAGGAGATCAGTTGATTAACTACCATCGCCATCAACCAAATGACCCTTGCATCACTCATGAATTTCGCATGAACTCACAGGCCCGAATCATTTACCGTTCTCAGCACGTGTACTTGCTTCCTCATAGCCTTCTAGATTTCTTAAACGTTTCCATTTATCCAGGTTGTTTTATTAGCCTACTCCATGACCATCACCGAACTTATGACGGCGAACAATGGTTGGATCCCATTTTTATATGCGGGCACATGGGACCTCTCTGTGGACGTAGAAACTGGGCAGAGCTAGTGTCCCGCGGCATGCAATGGGAGTGCCCAATTTGTGGGACAGAATTTCATGCCAATCTCGTCGGTTATGGGGATGAAGGATTAGCAATTGTGGCTACGAAATGGATGGACTTAGGGAGAGGGTTGAATCAGGGTCAAGAATGGGAAAGGAATTTTGTTTTACAAGAGATTCCTCCTGAAGATAGCACGATACTTACAATGGGTTTTAACGGTCCCATCTCAATGTGGTGGGAAGATGTTGATGGAGAAAGCAGGTATGTGCCAACTTTAAGTAAGGCCGAGAAAAAGGTTCTGGGGACACCAATACGCAGGGGGACACGAAAGCACGGGAGCTGGATCACAGGCTATTTCTCTGTGGAGTGGTTCAAAAACTGGTTAAAAAGCCTCAAAGGTAAATAGGAAGTATCAAAAATGTATAATACAATTCTAGAGAAATCAAAACATGTATGACAGGAAAACAACATATTAAAAGGAAGGTCATTCCATGAAGTAGTAATGAAGGGAGTATAGGCATCTGGACCACTGGACTACTGGATATAGTGCTAGGCTTTTGAGCCCTTGATAAACAATAGAATGGATGCAACTTTGCAAGACCAAATTAGGTAATTTTCTCTATCCATAACCCCAATTCAGAGCCAATAATCAGATCTTCTAAGTATCCAAAGCAAATTCTACAATGGAACAGCCTTTTACACCTGATGGTCGGCTCTCCTTCAAATCGCGAGGCACTGTTTGTTGTGAAATCTTCTCTATCATATCCGTGCCTGCAAAACAATGGGAGTGCTGATTAAGCACAGCCTGATGGCGATGAATTGGCGAGGCTGAAGTGTGGCTTGAGCTCCCTGCCGATGAGGTGTTTACATTTGTATACCAACCACAAAGTTGTCGACCGCAAGAAACCCCCACTATCATTGTTCAGGTCTCTAGTAATTTCAAGACATATTCTAGAATTGAGCTTTCTGAAAATCACAAATCATTCCAATTCGCACAGCGATATTTACCAACACCAACAAGACAGGTTCGCCCTGTGAGAGGATAAGATGGTTGCGCCAGCTGTTCCTGAGATCACCGAAGAGATCGTTCACGAATCCATCGATGCGCGATCTGAAGTTCTAGCAGCTCTAAGAGAATTGGGCCCGCCAGATCTAGTCCAATTGATAAAGCAAGCCCCGAGAAATCCAGGAAAGCAGATTGGTGTATATCATCATGTCACCGGCGTCGATGCATCATCATCTGCAAGTTTAGCGGCATATATCAATACCCTTACCTACAAAGAAAATCATCAGTCTACGACAAAGATAGTTGAGGGCGTATATTGGTCGGTTTAGAAGTCTGTCAATGCGGAGTGTTACTAATCCCTATTAGTTGTTACAATGCCTTTTCTCGATTGGATATGCGCGTCCATGTCACAATTCCAGGAAGCGTTGAAAGTTATTGTATCGATGAGCGAGGTGATAAGAGAACAACTACCGATGAGTTATGGTTGGAAACATACTTGTGTAGTGTTCTTCGGGCATATTCATATGCGGATGATGGAAGTGGAGACACCATTCGAAAGATAATTGGAGTTAGGAGATTCAATCCAGTGACCACGACGGAGACAGAACATAGATTCCTCCAGGCTGCTGAACAGTTATTCTTTAGAGGTATGCCAATTGATGTGAAGGCAAAATCCAAGACTAACTTCTGTAGGCTGGCAACTTGGATCCGATTCGATCGTACAGGTACCAAACAATGTCTCGAACCATTTAACAACAGGTCTTCTAAAATACTTTCGAACCACTGGGCGATACGCCTCTGGAATTAATCTATTCGAAAAGCTTCGAACTCGAAATATTGAGGTTTCCTCTCTTTTAGCCAAGGTCCTGTTTATGGGCAATGAGGAGGTACAAGCCGTTAGAGTATTACATGAATCTGTGAAGCAGTCGCCAATGGATTATGTTATGCTTGATGCTCAAGCCGGATTTTTGAAAAAGAAGGCAATGGACCCCAACAAGCCAGAATTCAAGACTGAAAGATTACAGATGGCCCTTGGTTGCGCAGACCGAAGTACCATTGCTGCGCCGAGCGAATTTGGAACATGGGCACGCTTAGCTGAAGTTTATGTTGCAATGGAAGATTGGGAGAATGCTCTTACGACTCTAAATTCATGCCCCATGTTTACATATCAAGACAAGGATGCACCTAACATGCCAGAGCCTAAGGAAATCCACCTTCCAACCCTTCCCGAGACTAGGTTAGATGAGATCGATAGTGAACCGGAGTCAAGGTTATCAGAACAAGTTCATCAAAGCCTTTTAAATCTACGTGCCGCTATGTACAAAGGTACTTTCAAGCGCGCTTATAGTATCTTAACAGAAATGACAGCAAAGATTGGCTGGGATCAACTTCTCAAGATTAGGAGCAATGTATTCGTCATGGAAGAGGAGTATAGAAGTGAAAAACAACCACCAGTTGGTCAACAAGGTGAATCCACTAAGCGTAGTGCAAGCACCGACGTACTGAGAGGAAGTCCAGGTCCTCGTGCAAATGGTGATGACCATTCCGACGACGAAAAAAGTACAAATGGCGATTCGGCAGCTCCTAAACCGAACGCCGAGGATGGTAACGGAGCCGATGATTCTGTAGAGAAGCCTTCACATACTGTTGCAGCAGAAGAAGTGAAAAGTGGTAACGAAGATGTGAGTGATGATCGAAAATTCCCTATGAATCCGCTAACGTTGAGCAGAGCGAGACCACCGAAGAACAACTTTCCAGATTCAATAACAAGAGACTTTGTGAGCGTTGGCTTGATAGTCTATTCATGGTTCTCTATGAAGACCTTCGTATCTATACCATATGGAGAACTGAAATGGCTCAGTACCGTGCACAACAAATGCAATACAAGAAATCGGCCGAGGAATGGGAAATTCTCGGCTCGTTAGCCGATAGACTTCATCACCAGCCGGAAGCTGTTGAAGCTTATCGCAACTGTCTTCAAATACGTTTCTCTCCCAAAGCATTGGCGGGAATTCTCGCCGAATTGGAGAAGAACAAGAACACTCGAGACACAGTTGCTAGTGTTATTAGACTGGTCACTTGGCAATACAGATGGTACTCGGAATTCTCACCAGAATTGCTGTACACAATACGCACACTGATAGAAGATGAAGGTGCTGTAAAGGTTAGGAGTATTATTCAAGCAACAAGCTTACCGCAAAACGTCTTGGACTTGACACACCACTATGCAGCACTTTGTGCGGCTTTTAGAAGTAGCGGCACCGAAGGATAAGAAGCCTACGGAGTAGAACTCGAAAATAGAAGTTTCGGGTGTTACACGTGCGGTTAAGAGTGAGAGCAGGAAATGGAGGGTTTATGTTCTAGAACTTAGCGGGTTAAGATGGGTCTGATATCCAAAAGTTGATAGGGACAAAAAGTTCAACTTGGCACAAATCATGTATAGTATACTATAATTGCTTTGAGAGGTGGAATAATTAACGCATATACTTCTTTAATAGCTATATTTCCGGAACCTGACACTAGATTTGTCTTCATCTGCGCTGAAGGGCAAACATTACCTCATTCAGGATTGAGAAGTATTGTTAGTTTTCCCTTTTCCCCTTTCCTTTTCCCCACCTCTTCCTACTTTCCTTGTACTATGGTTATACAGTGATTTCTCAAAATATTGATCTTTGCCCATTATCAGCTCACCTCTTCTCCTTGTCTTTTCGTCTTCCTTCTCCTCATCTTTTGCAATTCTTTCCTGCTCCTCCTGCATTGCAGCCTCTCTGGCCCTCTTGGCTTTCTCATCCCGTTTGATTTCCCACTTTTGATACTTTTCCTCTTTCTTTTTCATTGCTTTTTCTACTTTAACCTTGTAAGAATTGCTCTTGCTCATTTCGCTCAATACATCCAATTGTTTGACCGCTATTTCTTTGTCTTCTTCGAGTAATTTTTGGTGTTCTTCGTCCGCTTTATTACGAATTTTCTTTCTAGTTTTCACTTCATTTTCTTGCTGTCTCTTTTCTTCTTCCGTCGCGAGTATAGTGTTCTCTAGATTCTTCAGGTGGGTTTTCGCTTGCTGATACCTTGATTCCTCCAACTCGTTCTCTTGAGTCTTCAGGCGGGCTTTCGCTTGCTGATACCTTAATTCCTGCAACTCGTCCTCTAGAGTCTTCAGGTGGGTTTTCGCATTCTGATACCTTGTGTCCTCTAACTCGGCCGCGTTGTATGCCACCACGAAATCGTAATCTTTGTGCTTTTGCTTCTCTAAAAGTTTATGTTTATCTTCAAGTTTCCTATTCTCCTCCTTTTCCTCAGCACTAAGCTTTGTACGTGATAGAGAGAGCGACAGTAAACTATTAGATGCACGTTTTAGTTCTGGTCTTGGGTTCGTTACTGAAGCTTGAGACGATGAGCTGTCAGGCCCGTGATTGCTATCTTTCTCGCGATGGCTCTTATTGCTAGTATCTGCCTTACCCCCCCTTGCGGAGCTTGATGAGCTACCTACTACGGTGCTAGATGAGTTGGTGGATCCATCATGACTTTTATGAATGCGATGTTTATTGCTTTCAGAGCCCGACCCGCCTTTCAGAGAAGCTGTACTTCCGACCTTGGTACTGGATGAAGCGTTCGTCGATGTCACATTGTTGTGTGTTGATGAACTAGCCGAGCTAGTGGTGCTGGGCGTAGCAGATTTTCTATCCTTTTTCTTCAGTAAAACATTCATGATTTCTCGGATTTGATAAGATAGTATGATATGTGATTATCCAGATGCATTTGATGCAAATTCTGATTTCCTAACTACGGGTCAAATAATTTTATTTATACAAATTTGATCTGACGTCGGGAATTCTCCAACAGTATGGGCGGGCGCTTAATATTCATTGGGACTTCTAAAAACAGTACTGGGTTTGGGCCGGGGCCAAATGCAGTGGCGGGAAGGAATCACTGATAGGTTACGAGTGTTGCTGAAGGCCAGGTTCTAGATGAAAAAATGAGAGATTTTACTACCAACTTGAGAAAAATACAGGCAAATAACATTCTTGAAACAAAAAAATACGACATGCTCGAGGCCATAGAGTCAAATTATGGTCGCATATTGGTTCCCACATACATTTTTTTACATTTATTGCGAGATTCTGAGTATGCTATTTGACAATGAGAATGTTCTTTATCTAGGGATACATAACGGTCGTGCTGGTCGATTTGTCGGCGTAAAACGTAGGTATCAATTCGACAAGGGCAAGCATGTTCCCAACTTTCCGCCTTCTATACTAAATACAACACTTGCCCCCAATTGTAATGGATCTCCCTCCCAAATCACGAAATCTCTAGTTTCTTCTGTAACTTTCAGATCTAGAATTTTCTCAATATTACGAGAAACCAAGTCCACAGCCTCGCGTTTTGTGAGGCTGGAATACTTAGCTGCCCAACCCGCTTCAATTGCGAGATTGTGGATATGTGATTCGCCTGTAAGTTTAGTTAGACCATTTAAAGCTGATCAATGATGGGAAATAGAGTCAGGAAACCTACTGCCTTCGCCTTCAATTGCCAATGCAAAAAACACACCCGCGTCCGTAAGAACTGCAGCAGGAGAACGCGTTAGCGGAGGACCAGAGAGAGCGTTGCGTTTCTCGTATGTATCCGGGGCACCGCGATTTCGGGTCAGGATGAGTGGTGTTTTGGATTTTGCAATTTCTTCAGCTACAAGATGAGCGCCCGCTCCGCCTAGAAGAACAAGATTGAGGGGCGATGGATGGTTGTTCTTTAGTTTGATGAGCTGGAGAATATCGTACTGTAATTCTAAATGTCAGTTTCAAAATATCAAATGAGGAGAGATGAGCTAACTTCATTATCCACATGTACCACTAATGGAAATGATCCATTTGCAACAGTGCCAAACACGTTGTCTTTGCCAATATTCTTGATCAAAACATCTTGCAGCTTTGCTATGGCGGAGGATACTGTGGGTATGGACTCGAATTCTGTATATATGGTTTAATAGTGTTCTTAACTTATATTGTGGAGACCAGACTTACGTTTGGCCATTTGACCAATTGAAAAGTGCAAAGCAACATCGTCCTGGAAGATGCCACCATCGAGGATGTTGTGTTTACCGTTAGTTTTGATACCCGTACTCACACCACCAAAGAATGTCTCAGAAATTGGTGTAGTGATTACTTGGGTAACACCACCAAGTCTTGCCCTAGAAAATCCACGTCCATCCAGATGGATCCCGTACTTGGCGTGGATAATATTATCTGGTTCCAACAGAGCCAGACTTTTGTCAAGAGAGCCATCTGAGGTTTCAGAAGCTCCGAGGATTTCTGCCAAGCCTAGACTGGGTGAGTATGCAGTAAGCCCTGGCATTACAACACCTTCCCCGAGCTCAATAATATTCGTGTCTTCACGGAGTAAAGTAGCACATTCTTGCTCCAAGCCTAGACAGACAACTTTGCCACCATCCAAAACCATCGTGAAGTTACTTGTTTCTGATGAGACATCCTGATGTGGCGTCAAATAGCTTTGTTTAATTCCAGTAACAGCAATAATTTGTCCCGAGTTGTCTAATTTGCTACACGAGCTTTGTTCCGATATCTGAGTAATTCGCGATCTTGGTTTCATTAGAGTGCGTTCGATAGAATATTCAGCTGTATTTTCCGCGACTTTGACAGGGTCCAGAGTAGCTTTTCCATCAATGTAAACCTGTAAAGGTGTAGATCCGGCGAGAAGCGGATGGGAATCCCACACTACAAGGTCTGCATCATAACCAGGGCGTGCATATCCGACCCGGTAGTCAATTCCTAACGATTTTGCAGGCACACTAGTTACGGATTGCAAAGCAAGAGCTTCGGAGAGATTGAAAGAATGTGCAGTCGCGGCTTGGAACCTGATATATCTATGTATCAATAGTGGCTTCATGTTAATGAATTGAAGGAGACATACATTAAGTATTGTGCATTGGTAAACTCGAAAACGTGATCCTTTGAAATGTTAGCTTTGGTATATGCCATAAGAGAAGGGCATCTGACGGATTTGTATGCAACGGGAACCCCATTCTCAGCTAGAATACTCCCGCCCCATAAGTTGGCATCATAAGCTTCCTTTTTGTAAAACCCAAATTCGGAAAAGGTTGCAATGGTAATATTCCTATTGCACTATGAGAATGTAGCCACTCCAAATATACTTTCAGAACTTACTCTCCGCTACTCTTGATCAACTCGGGCACTTTCCAGGCTGAAAGGGCGTGGTGAAATGCTTGAATTCGAAACCCAAATTCCTTACTATGATGAATCATGTCTTCAAGGTCCTCAGGTTCATAACAATGTATGTTAACTCCAACCTTACCTCGCAATAATGCTACCGTAGATTCCAACTCTAATTCTTCCGGTAAGCCACCGTTCTTCATGAAGGCTGAAATGGTGGCAGAATCTCTACTTTCTAACGCCGCAGCAGCTGATAAGCACCAAGAATCTTGCTTTTCAATTAGCTCCTTTCCTCGTGTCATTTGCTTTCGAAACAACCAAGCATTACCCATTCGGGTATGATCATAGACAGTTGTCGGATTCTCGCCGCATGCCATCTTCATGTATCTTCTCCTCTCCTCGATAGGTACACCATGTTCAAATAAGACTTCTTCAACTACTTCTTCACCAGTTTCACCACCAGGAACGAAGTTTTTGACAAGAATTCCTTCACCACCTATAATGTTTGCCGAGCCAGGGATGAGAAGGGAAGTTGTAATACCGCCTGAAGCGATTATAGCAGTTGCCTTGTCATCCGTCTTGATAGAATCAATTGCACGAACGAATGGGGTAAGAGGACCCATATGAACTTCATTCTCATCGCCTGTAACAGAGAGTTCAGGCCAAGCGTGCAAGAAATGATGTGAATGCATGTCGACCAGACCTGGTGTAACATATTTACCTTCGAGGTCGACAATTTGAACATTGGAATCATAAACGATAGATTTAGTAGCTGTTGATACGGACTTGATGAGCCCGTTCTCGAATGTTATATCCACGAAATCACTAAGAAGAGCTTTCCCATCGAACAGAGTTGCATTCTTCAAGACTATGGTCTGATTCTGACCACGAATAGAGTTCCAGCGAGGATTCTTTCGTGAGGTGATTTCCGAATGAGAGTATTCTTTGGGCAATGTATGTAGATCTAGACATTTAGAATATCCCACTTCAAGCTGAGATATGTAATGATCTGAAAGCTTTGTAGCTGCTGGAGATAATTGATATATGTATCGGGGGAGAATGATAAGCTGCAAACCAAGAACGACAGCGATAAGGAGTAGAACAGATAATGGGAATCTAATTCGCGTTACTCTATGAGTAATTTTTGAATTGGCATTATCGACGACAGACTTGTACATCTTGAATGTCAATTTCCAATATGAACAATTGACAGAAGACTACGATAATAACATGCATGATCATGATCAAAGGTACCAGCCATGTTTTCTCGCTATTGATGAGATAACCGTCTGTCATTGATTGCAGGGGGGTGTCCGACCCGACCTCTCGGAAAAAAGGTTATCGCGGAACTCGAACTTGGTGAATTTGATCGACTATGGACAATACCTACGAGTATTCACCCATTCAATCAATGTTCACTGTGATTTCCGCATTGTTTCAACACGATAGCTAAAATAGATATCAACACCTATCGTACGAATACGAACTTAGACCCCGAAAGCTCTCCGTCCTGTGCAAACTGACGTTCGACAAACATATAATCACAACTTGTGTCGCATTGTGTCGAAAAGCTGGACAAGAGCGCGAAACGGGCAATACTGTATCCTATCTAATCATTTGGCCAGACTGCTACGTTGAAATCCGTGACACTTGTACACGGCGCAACATGGCGTCGCGTATACAATAAATAACGAGACCTCATTGTTTTTTAACCTTCTAAGCCGCACACCGTCGCGGTTCTTTCGTCAAGATGGCGACTTTTACCGCATTAAACATCGAACCAGACGATCAAAGCTATGATGAGATCGATAACACGAGAGAGATTCAAATAGAAGATGCTCTTAAGCTCTACACAGCTGCGCTTAAGCTACATGCCCAAGGTCTTCCTTTCTATCGAGAAGCTGCCGAAGCCTACAAGAATTTATTTCAATCGGAAATCTTCAGCTACCCAGAAGCTGTCACTGAATTTACAAGACTCGAAGAGCATCCCGAACTTGAGTATGCCGACTCTGCCATACCTATTGAACTCGATATCGGCCAAGCTGTCGCGGATGGCGCATCCAGCACATTACCTCAAATCCTTTACCTCGCATACAAAAATCATGGACAATTCATTTTGGACTGTGTTAAGGCTCGCCTGCGAAACTCGAATGGCGTGATGGATGATGCCGCAACACTAGATCTACAAGCCAAAGTTTCAATGGATGATTTCGGACGTGCTCTAGCCAGTGATGAATCGGATACCGAGCTATGGAGACGAGCAGCTCGTATTGGAGCCATGCTTGGGAGTCAGAGAATTGCTCGATATTGTCTTGAGGCTGCTGTCGAGGTTGATGACGATCCAACCGTTGCTGAAGTTGAACCTCAATCTTTAGAAGAAGGTTTTGCGGGAGAGCAATTGAAGAGTGTACTCGAAGCTTTGTCTGATGAATTATCTCTATCTCATCCAATAATGGGACCCTACAAAAAGAATGAAATGCCTCAATTTTTGAAGAAACACATTGATCCATATCCATTCCTG